CCCAGCTGGCTGATGTAGCAAACTCAGCAGTCACATGTTTCCAGCTCCAGCACAATAGTCAAGAATTGGCTTCAGTGGTGTAGACACCGCCACCAGCCTGGGCAGCCCTCCCGTGGAGGAGAGAACATAGACCTCCAGCCTGGGGGTGAAATTCAACAGGGACCTAAAACATCTGGTGTTCATCCTAACCCAGTTGTGGACCTACATGGAGGAGTATGGGGCCAACCTGCCAACCCACCTGGCTAAAGTGAAAATTGTATTCATGGCATTAGAAGGCAAGACAGCAGATATTTTGATTTAAACTGAAACCATGAAGGAACACGTGAAACTACTGAGAGCAATACTGAAAAAAATCCATTGTTTAAGTAAGAGTTCCACAAGGAGAAGATTGATTATCTGGCCTATGACATTTCCCATGAGGGGGTTGAAATGGACTTTCTGGGGTTTGCGATTTTTTATCAACAATTCATCCCTTCATTTGCCCAAATACAGTAGCACTGCCTATCACTAACCTTTTAAAGGACTAAATGGGAGGGGAAAGCCAAGCCAAGCCAAGCCCTGAAATGGACAATGGAATGCCAAACAATGTTAGAAAAACCTAGTGCCTATTCACAGCCAAGCCATTGCTAAAGCACCCAGATCCAAACACCACATTTGTCATTCAAGCCAACACCAGCAATGTGCCAGTCAGAGCATCCTACTCCAGAAAAATGAGTAGAGGTTTCTGTAGCCATGCGCCTATACCAAATGGTGGAATTCAAGTACCTGAACAATCGGTTCTCTTATTCAGTGCAGGCCTGGGCCTTCGAGGCCTAGAACAGACTTTCGGAAGTGGCATCCACGTACTTTTGGGGGCTGTTCTAGCCCTGGGAGGCCTCTGAGGCCTAGAACGGACTTCTGGAAGTGGCATCCATGCACTTCCGGCAGGCCATTCTAGGCTGGGAGGCTTCCTCCAGGCCTCCAAGGCCTAGACTGGACTTCTGGAAGCCAGCCGGTTCTCCAAATGCAGCAAAATTTAGCTACCGGTTCTTCTGAACCGGCTGAATCCCACCACTGCCTATACCTCTAGAAAACCAGTAACTGTGCAATTAGATTTGCCAAAAACTCTCTGACGCATCCACCCAGTCTTCCACTGCAGCTTGTTGAAGCCAGCAAGCATGAAAAGAGAATTATTAAGCTAAATAGTTTCAGAAAGATTGATATGTGTCTGCACATGTTCTTGCTGTAATGAAAGTTAAAGTCGTTTAACTCCTTGGTTGTCTGTGCTGGCGACACTACAGATGTGGTTTGCTATTGGTTTCTTTCAGATTTTAATTTTTCTCAACTTCCCTCTCTGTTCCAGTGATTCTGAACCTGGGCAACCTTCAGTTGTGTGAATAGAGCCATGGTGGCACAGATCTTAGAATGCAACATTGCAGGCTAATTCTTCTGACTGCTGGCTGCCAGCAGTTCGGCAGTTCGACAGTTCGAGTCTCACCGACTCAAGGTTGACTCAGCCTTCCATCTTTCCGAAATCGTTAAAATGAAGATTGTTGGGGGCAATAGGCTGATTCTATAAGCCACTAGAGAGGGCTGTAAAGCACTATGAAGCGGTATATAAGTCTAAGTGCTATTGCTATTTTAATTCCGAATTCATTAGCCAGCATGAAGTTCACAAATCTTAAAAGTTGCCAAGGTTGAAAAACTCTAGCCTAGCCTATCTCACTGGGATCTCCTGCTTGTCTCAATTAAGAATATGCAGCAGTTGCAGATGGGGCAAAAGCAATAATACTTAATTTTAAATACTGAAATTAAGAGAAGCATAGTATAGGCATCTCTCTTTTTAGCTTGCCATACCCTCTTCCTTTAAGACATTTTAATTTGTTTTTTTAATATATATAAGTTGTATATGTCGTATACATAGATGTTTAAAGTCAGTAGGACATTACACACAAATGAAATTACTGGAACACTGGTAGAAAGAATATCCTAACAAACTTTAGTAGTCAAAAGGTTGACTATTACAGTAGTAGCAAGTGGGACAGAGCTAGGTATGATAATCCACAGTTATGGCACTTTACAAAATCCTGAAGGGTGGAAACAGGATGGAAATATAAGCTTGTGAACAAAGAAAGGTGGGTCTTGGTTGAGTGCCCACCTGAGAAACTTAATTTCTTAAGGGGGCAGGGAGAGATCCAATAATATGAGGATGTACTAAAACAACACTGGAAAAGAAGGGAAGTAAAGATAGAAGAATAAGAATATGGAAAGTCAACTTGTCCTTTCTATGGCTGTAAGTAAAACACAAAGAAATTAGCTTCGGTAACATAAAATGTCAGTTAAAAGGCAGAACATAAAAGCATCAGTAACATAAAATGTAACAGAATATATCAGAAAAAATATACTAGGATAAAATCTCTCCTCCAAATAGTAAACTAGATTCCTTAATCTCTAGATCACTCCAGGTTTTTTAAGTACTGATTATCTGCTGAGACCCACATTAAGATCCATGGGACGTTTTTCATTGTTTTAGTTTGATTTTGCACCCAACCAGCAGATATTGCAAATTCATATGGAAAATGCCATTCATCATTCTGAATACCGCATCTTTGTTGTATTGATGTTTCTTCTGTTTGACCACAAACTTAGCAGACTTGGAACCCTTCAAGCTGATTCTATTCCTCCTCTCTAACTCAACTTGATAAAAGAGTTAACTGTAGTTCAATTGGAAAATGTTTTCCTTTGGTTGATTGTATTTGGGCAATATAAAACTTTTACAGAAAGCCCTCCTACAGTGGAAGTGAAAAGATTCCTGTAAATAGAAATGCGTTTGACTTTAAAACTGAGTAAATGATAGGCAGCTTTTGAAAAGAAAATCGATCCTATTTGAAAGAGGAAATCGCTTAAAAGCTCCATTTAAAATAAACTATTTGATCCAAGAGGTTTTTTTGCTTCTACATTTCTCTATTTATTGAACCAATACTATGTATGTAAAAATGCTTTCAATCCCACCTTCTGTATCATCCCTGTCTGATTGTAAATGACTTTCTGGACAGCAGTTACAGAAGAAATGTAGGACAGAAATAAAGCAGGCTGTGAATCCAATTAGTAGCATAATGTAATACATTTTACAAAGCATTGCTAGTAGCAGAACTCTGGATAAAAAGGCACATATTGGAATGCAAATACTGGGAGCAACTTGGCAGACCTGTCTTTTTCATAGGCCAAACTCTGCAACTGGTAAAATCATATTGAGTAATTTTTATTCAGGCTGAACTGTCACAGCTTGAATGTCTCAAAACAAAAAACAAAAAAAGGGAGAAAGTTTCCTTTAATGTTTTCTAGTTCCTTTAGTCTTCTCCCCAGGAAATTATTCTTTTTAATAGATGGCATTGTTGAAACATAGGATTTCCGAACTGCACTCTTTAGGCTATGTGATGCAAAGGAAGTTCTCTGATCAAAATTATTTGCTTTTTCAAAGAAGCCATGGGACAGAAAAAATTCCAGACTTCATCTACACCAGTATTTTTCAGCCTCAGCATCTTTAAGAAGTATGAGCTTCAACTTTCAGAATTCCCCATGTTGGCTGCAGAATTTTAGGAGTTGCAGCCCACTCATCTTAAATTTGCTGACACTGAGAAACACTGGTTTAGACCATACCATTTAAAAGGTTTCTAGGTGTTGTAGAGTCCAGATTTCCCGTCCCAGCCTTAGCAGTGAATTAGTCTATCCATTCAAGATTTTGCCGGTGTGTGTGTTGGTTTCGCTTACTGATGGGCATCAAGATGTACCATCTGTCATAGGCAGATCTCCCATCATAAATCAGAAGAATAAGCAAAGAACATCGCTTTTATTTCTAGGAATCCTAAACAATAACTCACTGTTACGTAGAGATACATCCAGAAACATATTTAGTGTTGTAGCTCGTTCCACAGGTAATTTGATGATGGATTTTCCCCTCTTCTTCTGCATAAGACTCACATGTTGGCACAGGACCTCCAAGCCGTGTGGCTAGGAGCCATGAGGCTGGATGAAACAAAGGCATTCCAAACTGGGCAGTAGCCAGTATGTCCTGAAAAGAGCTCAGAGGCTCCTCCTCCTACTGAGCTGTTAACATGAGATAGCTAAGTAGCTAAAATTACATTTCCCATAAGCCATCTCTTAAGGAGACAGCACTTAACCCAATAAATACCAAACATGATCCAGAACTAATTTGATGATGGATTTTCCCCTCTTCTTCTGCATAAGACTCACAAGTTGGCATGAGACCTCCGTCTTGTTGAGCTAGGCAAGATGTGTACAATGTTACAGGAGGCTGCAAAATAGTCTGAGCACACTTGGTTTCACTTTTGGGAAGAAGAGAAGCAGAAGCAGAGATAGAAACATGGAATATAACAGGGGTGTCAAACTCGCTGCATCACATGATGTGTCACAATGTATTGTGACTTTTTTTGCATTGCCAGAGCTGGTGTGGGCACGGCCTCCGCATGATGCAACAGGCCCACAGGCTGGCAATTTGACACCCCTGGAATATAATAATTATATACAGGTAGTCCTCAACTTACGACCACAATTGAACCCAAAACTTTTGTTGCTAATTGAGACATTTGTTAAGTGAGTCTTGCCCCATTTCTTGCCACAGCTGTTAAGTGAATCACTGCAATTGTTAAATTAGTAACACAGTTGTTAAGTGAATCTGGCTTTCCCATTGATATGGCTTGTCAGAAGGTCGCAAAAGGAGGTCACATCCTGGGACACTTCAACCATCATAAATATGAGTCAGTTGCCAAGTGTGTTGAATTTTGATCATGTGACCACAGGGATGCTGCACCGGACGTAACGTGAAAAAAGGTCATGTCAATTTTTTCCAGTGCCATTGTAACTTCGAACAGTCACTAAGTGAACTGTTGTAAGTCGAGGATTACCTGTAGTTCATAGCTTTAAGTGCCTAATTAGAGAAGCAGAAAACAAAGCATTAACAGTCTCTTCCTAACACCAGCTTTTCTCTTCTCTTTCTACAGCAATTACAGTGCATTGTTAGGAGTTTGGATCTATGGGTTTTTCGTTGTAGTCTTGCTGGTTCTGGACCTTTTATATTACTCCTCCATGAACTACGACATTTGTAAAGTTTACATGGCAAGATGGGGAATCCAGGGGAAATGGATGAAACCGGAAACAAGCCGGTGGATTAAACCAACTCAGGACTCAAGGCAAGTAGAGACTCAGACTCATTCTCAGCCTGCCACTCAACCATCCCAGGCTGTCCACACCTTAAAAGGAGAAGCTTTAACTCCACCATTGATGTCTTTCCCAAGCTCAACTGCCTGGTAAGTTTTGTCAAGGCTTCTTCTCTTTTTTTCATAACCTAACCTTGTATTTGGCAGAAACTAGATAGTTCTTATCAGATGCTTTCAGAGCAATGTGATCTTGTTTAAATAATTCTGGTGTCTCTCCGGAAGTGAAGCCTCCAAAAATGACCATGCCCATTTGATGCCTGTTTCCTTAGTGTTAGAAGTGGTTTCATGTGGCCCACAAAGCCATCCTGGAAACAGTGGGGGAACGGCCCCCTCTGCCTTGGCCCTGGCCCAGGCCAGCCGGAGCCAATGTACAATTTTGTGATGGCCATCTATGCTGAAACGCATTCAGTCTTAGCTCCATAAGCCCCTCCCCGCATGACCTGAGGGGAACAGTGAGGCTCCTCCAGTGGACCATGCCCTGGCACTTGCCCTGGTCCCACCCCCTTCTGCCAGAGGCCCTCAGATCTATCCCATTCCTGCCCAGGCCCCCACAGGCACCCTTGATGCGAATGATGTAGAGCTGGCCACACTCACCCAGTAGGCCACATCCACTCCATTCACATCCACCCAGTAGGCCACACCCACCCTGGCCACACACACCCAGCCCCCTGAGGGCAACTGCAGTGCTGATGCGGCGCTCAATGAAATTGAGTTTGACACCCCTGTGTTAGAAGATAAGCTCCATGTTTGGATGGAGCACCCACAGGGCATATCAGGATGGCAAGGCAGGCTGGGAAACTGAACGACATCCCAGAAGAAAGTGGTAGCTAATAGTTCCCTGCATCTGCCAGGAAAACCAGCAAAGTAGGTTTTAACAAAGAGCTGCTAGACTGACTAGAATAAATGTAGGAATTTCAAGCTATCTGGCTTCAAGCATCATGAGAGAATAAATAGGGTCGCATGTCTGCTGTCCAGGGCACCCACAAGGTCCGTCATTGTTCTAAGGACAAAAGGCCAGAGACAGTTGCAGGAGACCCCACCCACCCACCCAACTCTGAGCAGGAGGGAAGATAGTTGATCACTGAAGGCAAGCAAGCAGCATCGCCCGAAGGGGAAAGTGTGCAGAGATCCAAGGTCAGGAATCAAGATCATTGGGGGATGCATATCTTACTCCAGCATGGTTCTGCCCGTAAGGGGTAAATGTCCTGCTGCCTCTGGAGTCTCCATCCAACATGAGCTGTTGCTTTTCAAGGGTAGCTTGGTCAGAAGATGAAGGGGCTTGCCCTGCAATGGGCAGGTCTCAGGCAGAAGAATCCCAGGTAGCCACTTGAGAGTAATACCAGCAGCCATTATTTGAGTTCTTCTTTAGGCTCTGGACATGCATCAGTTGGACAATGTTCAACCCCCCCCCTCCCTCCCCAAATCCTATGGTTTGGAGGCGGGGGGAATTCTCTGCACTTGGAAATTCATCCAGTAGTCAGCATTAATGAAACTGAGGGCATCAGAGCCATCTATCTTAGGTGGCCTTTGGGATTAAAATGGGGGCGGGGTGGGTGTAAAAAACCAAAATCAAACTAGTAGGCATAACTGTGTAATTGGAACTCTGCCCCAAGAGCCATGGATTTAACTCAGGAGCTTAAACTGGAAGAACCATAAACTGGCTCTGGAGATGTAGAATTAAATCTCTGTTCCTTCAGTTTAAAGGGGGACACAACTTCCATAGAACATTCATGGCCTTCATCTTGACAGTGATGGTGATACATTTTAAAAGAATATAGAAAACAGTAGAAATACAAGAAAATGTGGACACCTGCATTGGTTCCTTTTTTAAAAAAGGACAACCCTTGATCATTGCATGAAGAAGAGATCAGTCCATGGGCTGGAGTTTGAGGTGTCTTCAGAGTTGTCTGAAGAGTAAGGTTCAGAAAAGTAAGATGGCAGCCACAACACCCATAAAAACTGGGTGGAGCTTCTGGTCATACCATCACGTTGACTTTCTGCACACCCCTGTAGGCCTCAATTTTCCTGTTGCAACAAAAAAGGGAGATGGAAGATATCTGTGCTTGAGGAGAATTGGAAAGTGAGAGAAGAAAAAAGGAACCAAATTTGGGCTCTGCTCAGTTTTGTAAGGTTCTAATTACTCTGATACATACCATAGTAGCAGCATTTATCAGTTGGAAAGGCAGATTCTCAGATGTAAAAGGGGGAAAAAAGCCAAAAACATTCATTGTTTCACAAATGAAATATTTTGTGGCATCTCGCATAGCTACCATGCAGTTTTTCACCTCTTTCATCCTTGCCTGAAGAAAACAATGAAGGAATATAGAAGGAGAACAAAGAACAAATATAAAGCTTTGTTTGAAGAGACAAGTAAGTTTAGTTTTGAGTTCTAATCAAGATGACTATGGGTAGCAGCTGTAAAGGTCTTTGGGCAACCTTACAGAAGTCGTTTTGCCACTGCTTGCTTTGGTTTTTAATCTAACAATCTGGGGTTTTCTTGTGGTCTCCCATCCTTCAAGGATTAGCTTTTGGCGGAGAGCCAAGTCAGCTAGATGCTGATAACTAGCTGGGACTTGAGAAATTAATAAGGTTACAAAAGAATGGGAACATGTCTGACGTTCTGTTTTCAAAGCAAAAATTCATATTTTTGGCATTGAGTGGAAGGTCACAAATATGCAAATATTTTCTTTGGACCAGTTAGAGAAAGCAGAAAGGGCAGTTGAACTGTGCACTAACAATCTAGATAATAATTTTTAGTTCCGTATTTTACATTTGATTGGAATACATGATTAATTAAGCATATTGGAATGACAAACAGACAGAAAATATGAATTCTAGTTACTTAATCTATTGCATATGTATCCATCCCAAAGAAACACCATGGTGGGCAGCAAATGTATGCTAAGTAATTCGATCTCCCTGGCAAATGTGTATATTTGATTTTGTAGAAAAGCGTTCAGGGCTTGCCGAATGAATGTGGAAGAAGATGAAAATATCCACGCACACTAAAGGGCAGGTTTAATCTAGCTCTTACAGAATCTGTTTGAATAGCAGTAAGGCAGTAAGTCTCTACCCAAAACCTTTGCAAAACTGTCACACAGGGCATCCTAAGAGCCAGATTTTCCAGTGGTTCTCCTCAGATACAAATGGAAAGAGCCTTGCATGACTATTAGCTGATGCTTCCAAGCTTTTTTTTAGAGCTGTATCATGAATTCTGCAGGGCCATTACTGATCAGAAGCGCAATGATAAAGATGACATGATTAGTTTCCTAAAAATTACAATGACAAAGAGAGGAGAATATGGCCTCTATAAAGGTACTGAAGGAAAGATTTTACCAATAAGTTCTATCCAGTGTTCATTAATAATTAATCCACGTGCCAGTGAATAACCTGTAATTCAGTGGTTCTCAGCCTGTGGGTCGGGACCCCATTTGGGGTCGAATGACCATTTCACGGGGGTCGCCAAACAACGGAGTCCGCCATTTTTTTCCCCTTTTCCTTAGCTGTGCTACTCCCTTTTATTCTATTGGCTTTTGAAAGCCAATAGAATAGACTCTCTTGAATAGTCTAATTCTATTGGCTTTCAAAAGCCAATAGGAATTATCCAGGCTGTCTCTGCCCTGCTGAGCGCGCCAAAAGTCCCATTCTGCAAATGATGCTGCACCAGTTGAATAGTCCTTGACTTACGACCGGTTGAGTAGTCCTCGACTTACGACCGGTTGGGGGTCGCGGCCTTAAAAAGGTTGAGAACCACTGCTATAATTGAAGAAAGCTTTTTGACATGGGTAGCCAACAATCCATTCCCCAGAACCCATAAATTCTAAGTGCCCGTTGTGGTAATGTAGAAAAGGGAGCACCTTCAGGCCTTCACACAGCCTACATAGTCCTTGTGATGGGAGAAGTGATTTTAAAAAAAAGGTGTGATGGCTTTTAGCTAAACAAGCTCTGCTCCTTTTCATTCTCTGCAATTTAATGGCCTAGATTCTTCCAGGAAAAAAAGTCAGATATTTTGTGCGTAGTGTCAAGTTATAAATGGCACTTGTTTTGAAATTTCCCAAGCTTCCTTTTAAATGGAGGACTGATAATATTTAGGTGAGTGTGCTAGACGTATTTCCTGTGCTAGAGAATTGTATTAAGAAATAGCTGCTACAGCACAGCTATCTATTTCTGTTTCTCTTCAAACGTCCACCTTCCATTTCCTTCCAGCCTGCATTTGCACATTTCTATATATGCACACTTATTGTATTTCAGTATATCGTATGCCTTACATATATACTGATAGGTACATCAGTCCGTGTACCTTGTTCATTGAAAATATCCTCACAGTTAATACAACGACACTTTGGGTTGATTTTCTTTGCTACATGTGATATACTAAGGACTATAATGGGGCAACAATATTTTCCTTTCTTTCTTAATTACTGTTCATTCTTTAGCCTTCTCACACTTCTTTAGCTTATTATTTATCATTGTTATGTGGAGGTCTTAGCTCATTTTTCCAGCCTTATTTTAAAATTCCTTTTTAATTGCTACTCTCTCATCTTCTCACCAAGGTCCTTTCCTACTGAATGGGCCCAGCCAAGTGACAAATGTTTTTGTTACCGGTATCTGTGTTGTACCCTCTTTGTCAAGGGAGATGAATGGATCCACAAAATGTTTACTTCCATCCTTGTAATCGGGCTTGTTTATTTCTGCAACTTTCTTTGTAAAATAGGAAATGTATAAACAGCTCATTAATGCCTAATGACTGTGGTTCTCATTGTGCTGAAGGTTGGTTTGCAAAAAGTGAAATGGTATGTTTCTTCCCCAGGGGAGTCGAAAGTAGTTTGCAGGTGGGAAAAGAATGACAATGATTAGGAGGCAGATTGTGGAAAAAGACGAAAAACCAAGATAGAGTTGTAAAGGGAAGGAGACTGGTCAAGGGGATAAGGGCAAAAGGAGCTGGTAGGAATAGATGAAGAAACCAGATGAGATAATGAAACACCAGTCAGTAGACAATCCTCTCTTTCTCTTCTTCCTATTTCCCCTCTTCTTTTTCTTCTCCTCTTCCATCTTCATAAGTTCTGGGTCGTTCATTAATGCCTCTTCAT